TATAGAGTTGTGATACTTGTTGCTAGAGGATTGTAACATTCTAGGGACGAAGCCACACTCCAAAGTTGCCAGTTCTCTCAGCTGTTCTGGACTGGCAGAGATGCACTGTCAGTGGTAAACGGTTTTTAACTAGAGGCTGTCCCTTCACCCAAATTCATAATAGTTCCCCTAAGAACTTCTATTCACCCAGCACTCAGGAGGCAGAACCAGGCAGATCTCTGTGAGTTCGAGGCCAGCCTGGACTACCAAGTGAGTTCCAGGAAAAGGCGCAAAGCTACAAAGAGAAACCCTGTCTCGAAAAACCAAAAAAAAAAGAAAAGAAAAGAAAAGAACTTCTATTCAAACAAACATTTCTATCACAGCAGTACTTTTGTTTTGCTCTACTGAAAAACTTCATGCTGAGGGTGAAATTATCTTATTTAGCTGCTGTAAAGCTCTTTGCCAAAACTGCACAGCTATTAGGTGATATAAGGTATTTTTCTAAAGGAACTAGTAAAGCCAAAAGCAGCACAGCTCTGAACTCTGTTTCCTCACTGTTTGCATTAAACCAGTGACAAAACCTTAGAAACACTAATTGAGCCACTTTCATTCTGGTTTCTTTATAGGAAATGTCATTGGAGCTGACTTTTCTTAGTTCCACGCTCCTTACCAGACGCTCCAGTAACCACCGAGCTTCATTCTCCTCTTGTGAAAAAACACAAACATGTCCTCGACCCCATATTAACACAGGATCAGGACCCTTCCATAATCTCGAGCAGGGATCTTTCCATTTCACTTGAGTTTCAGGATTTAGTATTTTCACTTCATTAGCTTTAACTCCTGATGTTATTAGCAGCAGTGATATTTAGCATAGATTTCTTATAAGGAACTTTCAGGTAAAGCAACTATTTGTAAGACAGCTAGATTTTCTGAAGTTTGTTTCACATCTATAAAGCAGTCATTTCTCTTTTGAATGCCTGTTTCCTTGTCTCCTTATTAGATTTTCAAAGGAATTACTCATTGCAGGATGTTTGTTCAAGGCAAAGAACTTTTTTAATTTCAACATAAGTTTCTTCATATCTAAGACAACATTCAGTGTATAAAGTGCTTTCCCTTGTTTTAAGAATTTAAAGTGGCTTGTTTGCTCTTATAGGTAGCTTTTTGTCTTCCAACTACTGTAAAAACTTTGCACGGCTATTAAGGTAAATAAGGCATTTTCCAATGGAGCCCCAAACTGGGAAGCACCTAGTTCCATATCCTTTCAATCTTTCATTGGAACTGATACTTAAACTTAGACGACTTTCCTTCTTCTTTTAAAGGCTGTATTTTAAGTTTACCATGAACGTATTTTCGAGCTGACAAAAGTATTTCAGGGCAATGTCGCCATCTTTAGCAGAAAAACTACCTTTCCCAGAATGCATTTTCCTTATATCAGTCCATAATAATATCAGTTCCTTATATCAGTCCCTTATATCATTTCCCATATTTCTTTTTGGGTCTGAGAGTCAACTGGTTCTCTTTTACTAGACTTGCTTACAAATTCTTGCCCAGCAGGTTTGAACAAAGTTTTTTTGTTTTTGCAACGGGAGATTTGAACAAGCACTTTACATTTTCAGCTATGGCACATTGGGAGATTTCTATTCTCTCAACTGCCTTTAACAGGTGTTTCTCCTTCATCAGACATGGTCCCCCAAATCAGAACTGCACCTGCCTCATTAGCTGGCATTGAGGCTGGCATTTCTGATAGCAACTTTCCTTGGGGCTTGTGTTTGTTTTAGCCAGTCAGTGAAAAACAAGATCATTTGCAACAGATCTTTTTCATAGCTCCTTCAGAGAGATTTTCTCCCACTGATCTTATTTTCATTTTGCTTGTTCCTTCCCCACCAGATGCAGAGCTTCAGGTATCTGTCTGTGGCTCTGTACCTCTGCTAGCTGCCTTTGGAGGTAGGGGCTTCTTTTTCTCCCCCCCAATCTGCCTCAAACTCTAGCAGCTTTATCAGGTCATGCATTTTCTGGGGAGGAATCTGTCTGGTCTGTTTCTTCAGAGCCTTTCTCCCAGACAGTTCCCAGTTTGGTCTCAGTTTATCCCCTCTACCACAGAAACAGTTTCCGACACTACAACAGCGGCTTTCCCTGCTACTGAAGGTAGGGGTTTTTTGTCCGTTTCTGTTTTCGGGGTCTGTGTGGTTTGCGTACAGACTGAAAATCTAACAAGGGAGGTTTTGCCATCTCTAAACTTCCATTAGGACAGGTGTTTTGCCTCATCAGGCCTTCACCTGGCCCAGTCCCCCAGTGGGTTGGGTTTGCTTGTCTGGGTGCTCAAGGACAGAGCTTATGCCAGAGGCAATCACCCCTCAGGGCTACACTCCCTCATCTCAGGGAGTCAGTTGAAACAAAGCTTTTCTCAAAGAGGTGTTTCTCTGACAGAAAAGAAAGCTTTACTCCTGGCTAGTTCTGTTCTGCCCTGGCTGAGCTCTTTACCCAACAGAGTTCTGACTCGGCAGTATGACTGCTTCAGACACAGTTCAGCTTTACTGTTTTCCCAGAAAGGTCCTTACTCTAATAGGAAAGCTTTTCTCAGATTTCTTTTTGTAGCTGTGGACCTATAAACCCGGGACTTGTAGGAAAGCAGATAACTGTGCCATCCCCACAGGCTTTAGCTTTGTTTGTTCATTACCAATCTTCCCCAGGGTCCTGCACCTTCCTGCCTCAGCTCTGTGCTCCAGGAAGTTTACAACTGCAGGAACCCTAGTATCCCCGAAATGCACTCCAACTCAGAGATGCTGGCCAGTCCCCTCTAGGTTTTTGCTCAGAAGCAGGGATACAATGCTAACAGTTTCAGGGAATCTTTGCATAGGACAATTAGGAACACCTTTTCATTCTGAAACTCTCACTCAGAAACAAAGCACTTGATGCCTCAGCTCCACTGTAACTGAAAAGCTTGGCTTTTTCTGCTTTTCTCAGGTAAAGTTTCCTGCCCTTTTGGGCTCTCTATAGCTCTTCACCCTTACTCTCCCAAGCGTTTCCCTCAGGGTACCCTGACCCACTGTCTTTTACTAGCTTGAAGAGAGCTTAGAAGAGGTTTTTAGGAACTTGTCCCTGCCTCCTGCATTACAGGGAGGATTTTTAAAGCTTGAAAGAACTTAGGTTTTGCTGTCTTAAGTTTGTTGTTTTCTCTTAGAGCTAATCACAGGTGGTCCCCATACTAATAACTTCAGGTGATTCTACTCTCGCCTTTCTGAGAGAGAAGGTTAGAGGCTTTAGTTTTTAAGTTTTTTAAGAGCTTTTGAGAAAGATTAAGGCTTTTTAGAGAGTTTTCCCCCCAAATTTTCCAAGAAAAGCTTTATAGTTTAAGAGAAAGATTTTTTAACCCCAGGAGAGAGACCAACTTTTCCCAAAACTGCTGAATTTTAAACTTTTTGACTTTTTACACCCCCATTTTTGCCTCAGGGAGAAAACACTTTCTCCTGCCACTTGTACTTAGCATTTCAGCTGTCCCCAAGTCAAAAGCTTCCATAGGAAACTTTTTCTTACCCATAAGCTCAAAGAAGAGCTTTTTTACTACCCGTAAAGCCCAAAGAAAGATTTTTTTCCCCAGTTGCTTTCAAAGCCCCCAAAGTTAGAAAATTGAGTTTTTCTGTCTAGTTGCCTTACTTATTTTTTCCTACACAATCTTACACTTCTAAGTTTTTCCTAAACTATATTACTACCCTATACCTTACTCATTTTTCACAGATAGAATTTGAGAAAGGGATAGAAGATAGAAAATTTTGACAGAAGAGAATTTTGCTGCAGCATCGGACATCCTTCCAATATGCTTTCCTTTTTTCTCGAGGATAAAACCCCTGCCTTCCAAAAATATATATAAAAATATATATTTTTACATAACACCGGCATGCCTTTCCACTGGCAGGACTGAAAGCATTTTCACCAAAACTCTGTAATAAAACTATTATTTTCCTTTATCTTTAGTCCCTATTACTTTGTCTTTAGTCCCTATTCATTTGTCTTTATTCCCCCCCTTTTTTGTTCCCCTTTTTTTCTTTAGTCCCTTTTTTTCTTTTTTCTTTAGTCCCTGATCCGGCGCCATTCTGTGGGGCATTTACCCACCACCCCCACAGCTTCCCAGAGTGTTCTTGAGTGTAATCAGCAGGAAATATTAGATAGAAGGATTTATTGCAGAGAATTTCGCGGAGATAAACAGAAAGAAAAATAAAGGATAGCCTTGAGAGGGCCTGGAACCTATTCCAATGGGCCCCAACTGTCTCTGGCCCAGGGTTTTTATAGAGACACCAAGGGGTGGAGCAAAAGACCTCCTCCCCCAGCACAGCCAAGTGCAGACCATCTCAGACACCTGCACTCAGGCCCATGGTCCTGATCATCCTCTATTTGGACCTGCTGGGTAAAGCCACGTGGAACCCGAGAACAGGCTCTCACAGATAACTGAGATAAGAAACTGTTGGATTAGACAGTGTGATGGAAGCAGGTATAGTGGGAAGCAGAAAAAACATCAATATCTAAAAGGTAGAGATAGTGTGGAAGCTATTAGAGTGTGTAGCTGATATGATGAGATAGGAGGAGGGGGGCACTATTGCCACAGAGGTAGAAGATTGATGTATATTATTTCATGGGAATAAGCTATGTTCTCCAGGAAGTCACTGGTACTTCCACTTTATTAACTGTGTGGTCCTTGTCAAGCAGATGGTAAGAGCATGTGAAGGAAGGACTGAGAGCAGTGTTGAGATCATCATTAACCCATCTATGTGTCTGCTTCACATTTTCCAGGCATGACTGGGGACTGGAAGAATCACTTTACAGTAGCCCAAGCTGAAGCCTTTGATAAAGTATTCCAGGAGAAAATGGCCGGTTTCCCTCCAGGGCTGTTTCCATGGGAATAAATTCTTAAAACTTAAAAAATATATATGGAGAGTGTGGTTTATTTTCCTGTTCTTGTACATGTGAATGACTGGGTATGGGCACAAAATAAATCCTGTTATTGAATTGTAGACTTTTTTTTAGATATTAAGGGATAGTAATACTGGTAGTGGTAATAGTAGTGGAGGTAGTTGTTGTGTGTATTGTGTGTGTGTTATGTTTGTGTATATTTCCATATTTTTGTGTAAAGTGCCTTCAGAGATCAGAAGAGTGCATTGGTTCTCATAAAGTTACAATTATATATTGCTAAAAGCTGCCTGCTTTGTGTTTTGGAACTGAACTCAGGTCCTCTTCAAGGGCAGTACAGTCCTCTTGACCTCAGAATCATCTCTCCAGCTCTGAATCTTGAAGTCTTGAGTCATCAATTATTTGCTTCTTTTTATTACCGGTTTTTATACATTATCAGCTAACTCCAATATGCTTCATGGAATCCCAGCTTAAAACAATCCTTATAACTTTTAAACATAAAAAAAAATCAAGAAGCTTTAATTTTTACTCTGTGACTTTTGTGCAAAAGAAGTTTAAAAAAATTGTATTTATAGAGACTTTGAAACTTCATTCAAATAGCCTAAGGTGTAGTAAGTCCTTTATAAATTTACATTTCTGCTCAGTATTTTATACTTGTATTTCACTTTTTCTTCTTTTGTAGTTTTTAGTGGGTATATAAAATGTTAGGTTACATTAGGAAACTTTGATACAAACATACACATCAAGTAATTTATTCAGTATTTCTCCTGTACTGCTGAGACCTGTCCTTATGCTCCTGTTAGTACTTTCTGCTCCCATACAGTACCTTGTGTGTCTTAGAAACACACAAGAAATCTTGTGTGTCACAGAAACACAGTTATATTTAAATCTAGTTGTGCAGATGGGAAAAGAATGCATTACTCTCTTTACTTTTAGAAAACAGCCTGGGACACTTGGAAGAGTCCAGAGTGTGGAGAAAATAGTAGACTGAACATGTCCAGCATAATATGCCAGGCCATGAGGTGAGGCGCAAGAAAGGAAGACCAACAGAAAGGAGCCTAGAAAGAGAATGGCAAAAAGACTAAGAGAGTCAAGAAGGACCATCTCAGAATGTCATGGTTACACAGGAATCAGTAGCTGGGGAATGGAAGCCCATGATCTAGAGAAATTTAAGGTAGAGCCTGGACTGGGCGGAGCTGAGAGGAGCCAAGATTTCAGATATCTGAGTGGACTCTAACAAATACTTGCCCAGAATACTTGGAGGCCAGCATGCACTTTGTCATGCTAATAGGCAACACAATTAGCCATTTATCCTGAATTTCTTTTGGGCCTGACTTATGAGCCTTTTGTTGATGATAATGTACTCTATTCTGTAACTCCTTAGCTGAAATTAGGACACTATCAGGACCTAGGCAGGTTGGAGTGCTGACCAAAGGTTAGCAGAAAGGAAAGGAATTCAGGCTTTCTAGGTTCGGTGTGACCATCTGTGGCTCACAAAGTGCAGGTGGCTTTGGAAAAGTCTGAAAATTCTGGTGAAAACCAGAGGCTCAACCTAGTTAGAAATATTATCCAAAGCATCTAGTTTACATTGGTTTTCAGTAAATCTAGGACTAGCTGGTGTTGATTTGTAGTAGTTTTCAGTCTTTAAGTGATTAACAATCTCCTTGGACAGGTATAGACTAGAGAAATAAGGTAAAGTTAAGGAGCTTAGAGGAAAAATCTTTTTCTTTGGTGTACCATTGAAACTTCCAGACCTGTGTCCCTGGTAGTTGGAATGTGGAAATAGTCCAAAGACTGGGGGTAGCAGAAAGAGACACAGAGAGAGACAAACAGAGACAGACAGACAGAACCAGAGACAGAGAGTCTACACTTAAGTATAGACAGTAGGTAAGTAGGGCAGCTTAAGCTGTTGATTGAGAGGAGTCCATACCTGGAGTCTGTTTGACCTGTGACAGGTGGATCCAGGTCATGACTCATTGAAGCTTGCATGAATTTTTTAAGTTTACAAAAAGGATAAAAGTTTTTTGAGGTATTAGCATTGCTACTGATTATAATCTGTACTGAAATTCTCACTGTATAGAAAGCGGTTTGCAGGTGTCTGTAAAACAGCTAGAGTAGACTCATGCCTTAAAGTCATATCAAAAGCTTTTTTGGGGGGGTTAAAGGCATGAACATTTTTCCTCTGTCCAGAGGGAAGGATATATAAATATTAGAGTAAGATGTTTTTAGCAGAATGAGAAGCACTTTTAAGTCTATACCTAGAAAACAACCAAAGGAGTTTTAAATTTTGAACTTGGGACTGTGATGATAGTAGTCAGTACTTTACCATGGAGATTAACAGTTTATTAGCAGTTTATCAAAACTCCATTGATTAATGTTAAAACTCTTAACATTTAAAATCTTAGTAAAACAATAGCATAGAAAGAGAAAAATATGAAATATTTCTCATTTTTAATATTCTTCACATACCTTAAATCAATTTCTTAGACGCTCAGAACTTAAGCATTCACATCCTCAGACCTTTACAACTTGCATATATACACTTGATATTGCTTTCTTAGACCTTCTGTCTTAGTTATGGTTTCTATTGCTGTGAAGAGACACCATGAACATATTAATTCTTTTTTTTTTTTTTGCTTTTTTTCGAGATAGGGTTTCTCTACGTAGCTTTGCGCCTGTCCTGGAACTTACTTGGTAGCCCAGGCTGGCCTCGAACTCACAGAGATCCACCTGCCTCTGCCTCCCAAGTGCTGGGATTAAAGGCGTGCGCCACCAACGCCCGGCACATATTAATTCTTATAAAGGAAAGCATACACAGTTTCAGATGTTTAGTCCATTATCATCAGGGTGGGAAGCATGGAGGTGTGTAGGAAGACATGGTGCTGGAGAAGGAGATGACAATTCATCATCATGATCTGCAGAGAACAGGAATTAAACTGTCTCCCTCACTGGGAATAGCTTGAGCATACAAAAATAAGAGCTTTATCCAGCTCTAAATCAGCCAACAATGGAAGTCATATTATGTTCCAAACAGCTGTGTCCAAAATCCTTGAGGGAGAAATGCTATGATAGAAAGAAATGTGCAACTTTAATATTAAAATGTTAACTTCATCCAACAAAGAAAACAAAAAATCAAAATGTAAACAAAAATTGCAGCTGAGTATAAATAGCCATGGTAACCATAAAAATAACAAGCCTCTGAAAACAAGCCTTCATACTTAACTCATTCTTGGTGTCATTTGGCCCAAATATGTTAAATCAATACATTTCATACTTTGTAATTAATTTAATAAAGATAAAAAACATACATCAACACATGAACATCTTTAGAGTCAAATATAATACACATTCTATTGATAAATTTCATGTGTTAATTTTTCATGAGCAAACCCACACTCAGAGCCATATGTATACTTAATTAAAAACTAAATATGACTATGTGTACATAATATATATGTGTATATATATATATATATATATATATATATATATTATATATACTTAATTAAAAACTAAAATCTGTTTGTTTTTCAATACAGTATTTCTCTGAGTATCCCTGGCCACCTTGGAACGTGCTCTGTAGACCAAGTTGTCCTCAATCTCTGAGATCCACCTGCTTCTGCCTCTCAAGTTCTATAAATAAAGGCATATGCCACCATCTCCCAGATAAAATAAAATATTTTAAAAATGATATATTTTAGAGGGACACACTGAATGTCTTCTACCCTTATCCTTGTGTGCTTGTTTCACGTGAGGGCATACTTAGGGAACTTACACTCCACATTCAATGTAGCATCCCAAATCACTCGAATTTGAAGTCAAAAAACAAGAGGGGAATTGTAACCACTATAGAAGGAAAGGTTATATTATAACTCTAGAGCGTATGGAAGAAATCCTTTCTCACAGGGTATGTTAAGAATTTCATAAGAGACCTGGAGAAATGGCTCATTGTTTAGAGGGGTCCTGCTTTGCAGAGGACCTAAGTTCCATTCCTATCACCCATTTCAGGTGGCTCATAACTGTCTAACTGCAACTGTAAGAGATCCAATAACCTCTTCTTTGCTCCTTGGGAACTGCACACATGCACACACACACACACACACACACACACACACACACACACACACCTACACACAAAAAAATTAAATATGAAATGTTTTTGACAAATACATAATGCATAATGATCTCTCATGGAAAGAAGTGAGAGGGATCCTTCAGACTTTAAATGTTTTATTCACACTAAATTTCTTTTATTTGCATATCTTACTGTGAGTATAAAGCATGGTGCATGAGTAGAAGTCAGAAGACAGTTTGCAGGTTCAGTTCTCTCTTTCCACATAGATTCAGGGGATCAAATTCTGATCCTCACAATTGGCTACAACTGCCTTTACCAGCTGAGTGATGTTGCCTGTGTAATGGCATGGGGGGGGCTATGCACTGTAGCATGGAAGTCCTAATAGATGTCACAACCCCAAAGGGAATAATTCTCTCTCCCAAGCAGTTAGAGCTCTTCAGTATGGGACTTGTCCTAGAGATCATGTGCCCAATCAGTGACAGATTTCTGCTGCTTGACCTTCTGCAGCTATCCACAGCTGCAGTGATTTCACTTTTGCTACATCATGATGAACACATTAAGATATACTATGAGCACTTTTGGAAATTAATTGTTCAATAAATGGTTTCTTCTTCGTTTCCCTATAACCTCTGACCCTTAGCCCATTTCTTACTAAACATCCATAATATAAATATTCTCTTCATCCAGAACTCTAAGCTTAGGTCTGATCTTTGCATCATCCTTAGCCTAGTAGTTCCTTTTAATTTTATATATTATAATTTGATATATTCTCTTCATTACATCATCTAGGGTTTTATTTGTTAAATATTTTTTGAGACAGGGACAAACTGGTTGTCAAACCTCAATGAAGCACAGGCTGCCCTTGAACTCATAGAGATTCTCCTGCCTCACATTCCCAGGTACTGGTCTACCATGCCTGGCTATTTTTAAATTGTAGCTACG